TTTTTTTAATATAATAAAAATTTTTTATATAAAATCATATTTTAAATTAAATTAAAATTTTAAATTAATAAATTAAATAGACTTTAAATATAAAATTGATCATATTTTTTTGAGGGTCTAGCCACAATAGTATTGTGAATTTACAACAACGAAAACTTTAAAATGCCCTTAATTATATAAAAAAAAATTAAATGCCCCCGAACTCTGATCATTTATTCACCTTTCCCCTTAAATTTTAAAATGTAGTTTATGCATCTTTTAAATTTTAAAATTTTAACATAATTACTCATTCCGTCTCATTCCGGTGAAAAGCTTATGAGCAAAGAAATCAAATTAAAATAAAATGATAAAGTAGTCAATTCAATGTTTAGTGGGTACTTAATTTAAACCTTTTTGTTACATGCTTTACCTTAAAAATTTTAAATTTATGTTCAAATTTCTTGTTTCAACATACAAACCAAACATCCTAAAATTGTAATTCAAATAAAAAACTCAAATTAAACTTTCATGAGTACTAAATAAGAAAGCATGTCATTGTAATAATACTTCATTAGGTCAAATTGAGATGCGAATAGAAGTTAATGGATAAATTATACGTTTTCATCATGAACTATTGGTCTTCTTGCAAAATGCTTTCCAAAATTTAATTTTAGATTTTCCTCGAACTTCAACAACTATTGTAAATTTTTTCTGTCAACTAAATTTTTAACAGTAAATGTCACGTGAAATGAAAATACTAACAAAAAACTCCTTATGTTAAAATTTTTAACAGAAATAACAAGAATCACATAAATAATGAGTGTCGTTAAACCATTTGTAGAATCACGCAGTGGTAATTGTCATTTTTTATTACACCAACTTTCTTTTAGAGCCCATTTGGTTGGAGGATTCGTTCTCTGATTCGAATCATATTTCATGATTCGCTATAGTATTTTCTCTCACAAAAAACATACGTAAATCGAAAATGGTTCTAATCCATGAACCAAACGAGCTCTTAATTTATTTGATCTAAGAAATCTTAGTGGTTCATCAATGGCTGCCAATAACAATAACAGAACTAAGAATTTAACATAAGGAAAAAATTTGCAAGATGTGCTGAAGTTTGGAGAGAAAATAGCTAAAATTAAAGTTCATGTGACAATGCCTATAGTTTGGGGAGAAAACGTGTAATTTGTCTAAAATTAATAGACCAAGTTTAAATTTTTTTAGTGAATAGTGTTGGTTTTGAAAACGACTTTCTATGCGGAAGCATGTATCTAGCGGATCATGTATAACAACAATTTTAATAAACATTTGAGATACTCTATAGATTATATTAATTTATGCACAAATAAATTAATTTAATTAATTTATGAATAAGTTTACCTAGCGATCGATTAGGTTGATTACTTAAGTTCTTTGACCACGAACGTTCCTTGCTCTAAGCTTATTTAGAATACCCAAATCTTCCTTATCAATTGCTTGAATCTACGCATACGTGTGTGTGGGCACACCAAAAACAAAACGAAATTAGCACTCACACACTCAAGTTTTTCATGATCACCAACACATGCACGACGTGAAATTTGGGAGAAAATTTTCCTTTTCCTCACTCTATAAAACCAGCCACTATAGGCTAGGGAGAGCAAAAAAATATGTTCTCCAATTTTCTGTAATATTCTATTTATAGAGTAGTAGTCATACTCCCAAAAGAAGTATAAACTTTATCTTCAAGAAAAAACTTGATAATTATCTCTCACTCTTATTTTATTTTGTAAACAAAATCCCCTCTCTCTTTTATCCTATTAGGCCAGCCATCACAAGAATATTCCCTCTTGTGGTTGGCGCAAATTATAGATAGGGAAGGAGAAAAAATTATCCTTTATCCTACAGTCTAATTTTGACTCAAATTCAAATTCCAATTAAAGTCAAACTTAGAGTCCGTTTGGTTCATGGATTAGAACCATGTGATTAGAACTATTTTTTATTTACGTGTATTTTTTGTGAGAGAAAATACTGTAGCGAACCACGAATCATGATTCGAATCAGGGAATGAATCCCTCTACCAAACATCACCTTAATTTAATTTGAATTCTAATTGGACAACCTATCAAATAAATCAATTGGATAACTTAGAGAGCAAGATTCTCATAGTACTAGGCATGTACAACATGCCAACTCCTCCACATGTGTGTTTTAAAATTCAAATTTAAATAATCACGTTATTTAATTTATAGTTAATTCTCAATTAATTATTCTTGAGTGTTCTATCTAAAATTCCATAATTATAAAATTTCTATATCACCCTTAGTGTCTTGAAGGATTACAAAGACAACAGGAGAACTCATGGACCAATAATTCTGAGCTCCAATAAAATTAATAATTAATTAAAACTCTTTAATTAATTAATTAATTCTATTAAAAATGAAAGTTACTCCACTATAAACTTAGAATTACACTCTCACAATTATAGATATAGTCTACTTCTAAATTGTGAAATGTCCATTTGATATAGTCATTACATTTAGATCAATCCTCCATAAATAATTTATAATTAGAGTTATGTGAAATCCGTTAAGCTCTCTAATTACATCTTTGTCCTTGAGTACCATTGATTTTCTAATGGACAGTGATTCATAAAACAAATTCATGAATTAGAGCTCCTACTAGTCCAAGTATCGAATCAATCCTCAAGAGAATTATTTATCTACTTTTTTCTCAAGAAGGATTGGATTCCATCTCGTATAACTAAATTCACGGCTACTTATTTCATCATGTCTTTAAAATACAAGGAATTTGATCTAATATCTCTGAATCTGTACTAAGTAAATCAAAAGACACAAATCCATACATAAGAGTCTGGTAATAACTTAGGATTAAGATCGTTCTATGTATGACCATTGATAGACTTAATTAGAATTTCTATGCTTAATAGAAATTATCAAAAATTCATATTGTGTCTGTATCCTAGTTCTACACAATCTCATTATGCGTAATACACTCATTCAATAGCTCGTCATATTAACAGTGTGGATAACATCATTCCATTCTAAATGGAATAACATGTATTAGTAATGTTTTAATTAAAGATTCTAAACTTTAATTAAATTCATTACGAACATCGTTCTGATTATTATCCTTAAATATTATCCTCTCACATATAACATGTATATACAATATTTACGATCACATAAATAATCATGGAATTTTTAGTGATATTCATAAAATATTCAATAATATATGCACATAAAATAATGAATAAACTCTTTTATTAAATAATTAATAAATATCACATTACCTCGCATGCTTCTAAGACAAGATTCCCAACAATCTCTCGCGTATCCTAAAGCAAGTGTGACATGTCTCTTATCCCAAATCCTTCTAAGTGTCTATCAAATACATTCAGTGACAATGTCTTCATGAACGGGCCAGCAAGGTTGTTCTCCGATGTGATCTTCAGAACCGCTACATCTCTCTCTCTAATATGTCTCTGATCAAGCAATATTTACTTTCTATATGTTTAGCACTCTTATGACATCTAGGTTCTTTTGAATTAGCCATCGCTCCACTGTCATCACAGTTGTTGTGTGGGAAAATGTGGATGACAAGTGGAAAAACAACAGTGTGACATGTGGCCTTGCTTTCCCTCAAAAGGCAACAACCCTCAACGGTGGGGGTTCCCTTTCTTTCTGCTACAAGGGAAGCCCAGCCTTCGACGTTGACTCCTCACGACGACAATAAGTCGTACCGTCGACCTTACGGCAGGAATCCTTCGGGAAGAAATTAATTGCCAAGAAAGACAACTAGGCTGAGCAAATAAAGACGACGAGAGGAATGCCCGAAGAGGGGAAAGCCTGACATCGCAAGTTGCGTGCGCAAATGGGAGATGTCTGCAGTACAGGCATTAAATGCAAACCCTTAAATCGCCATACGAGGGACAGGAAAAGGTTACAGGTGCACACAGAGCCGCAATGGGAGACTAATTGACTGAGTGAACAGTTCACAAAAGTGATTAGTGAGCTACGGTGTGGGCCTAGAAAGGTAGGCCACTTGAGTGCTTTTCTGCCTACACAGAAAACCCACCCGACGAAGGAAGCTCAGCTATAAAAGGGGAAAAGCCTCATACAGGAAGGGGGGTTTTTATCCTGAGAAAAAAAATGAGAGAGTAATTGTTAGTGTAAATTGTAACAATCTCACTCTAAATAAAAAACTACAGTGGATGTAGCTCTTCATTTTATAAGGGTGAACCACTATAAATTTTTGTGTGTTTTTCTACTTCAAGTATTCTTTCTCATATTGCTCACTACACAAAAA